TAATAATTCTGGACTAATATTAAATAGGTCTTCTTGGTCTCAGTCTAATACTCGGTTTCAATAGACTCTGACTTTCTGTCTGTCAGTCAGTCTGTCTGTCTGTCTGTCTGTCTTTCTCACTCACTCACTCTCACTCTCAAACAAACTCACACACACACACACACACACACACACACACACACACACACACACACACACACACACACACACACACACACACACACACACACAATTCCTTGTGGTAGCTTCAGTTTAATGGTAATTGTTTATAAAAGGACCGCACCCGTCGGAGACCAAGTCCCGAACTCCAGCCAACAATCTTGGGGGATCCCGTGGGGAACCGGGTTTTTTTTTTGGGGGGGGGGATGAATATCGATGAGATTGCGAATAAACAGCAACAATAAAGTTCCATGAAGTAATTTTAAATAATAAAGAAAGTGGAAAAATGAAAAACCCGAGCCAAGAATCGTAATTCAAAAGATAAAGAAAGTAGAAAAATGAACCTAACCTAACCTAACCTAACCTAACCTAACCTAACCTAACCCGGACCCCCTCCCGATCGCCGTATTTTCCTATCGGGGGCTCCGCCCCCGGACCCCCTCCCGATCGCCGTATTTCCCTATCGGGGGCTCCGCCCCCGGACCCCCTCCCGATCGCTGTGCTTCAGCAGCAGGGGGATCCGCCACGAACCCCCTCTCGAACACTAGATTCGCCATAATCATTTTACATACCTTAGTGAGGAGGGTACAGGCGAGCTACGGCAAGGAGGAATTCGTACAGGCGCTTATTAGACTCGGGGATGTTCATCTGGATTTTTTTTAAAAAGACACCAAAGCCACTTTCGCAGTCTTGACACCGGTTAGTCATACTTGAAACTGACCGGCTGTCAAAGTAGTCATCCTTCGTTTACGCGCGCAAAGTATGAAATGAAATCATTGTTAAAAAAAATAAACACAGGCCTTAATTGACGAAACAAGGTCAATATGAAATAAAAAAAAAATATTTTAAATAACATCTTATGTTTATGCAAGAAAAATATTAAGATTAGAAACGTATGAAAAGCTAAAAAAAAACAATGGAATACACGATTCGTCGTGACGTCATGTGACGTAGGTGCGCAGTGGCCGAGCAGTCGGGGTTAACAATGCGCGAGAACTTAGTAAACATAGGTCGCGTGTGGACTTAGCCGCGTCAACGCCGAGTGGACTTAGCCGCAGCGCGGCACTCACCCCGATCTATTTTCGTCGTTTAACTGGAATCGGTAGGCTTCTGCAAATTAATTTTGATATCAGTCAATGTAGTTTTTCATTGCCTACAACGCTATGATCTTCAATTTTCTCCTAGTCGGTGCGGTCCTTTTGTAAACTTTAACCAGTTTAATAAACAGCCATATCAATTACTACTGAAAGACATTTAACTTTTCAACTTATAAGGGCGAGGGCAATAGCTGTATATTAAATATTAATTTTACTTCAAATCCATTAATTACAATATGAGTCAAGACCAAAAGTTATGAATGGAAACTGGCTATTACAGGTGTAATAAAACCTAGACACACACACACAAAATAAAGATATTAATGTCTTTCCTATGGCTCACATAGAAGTAAAGGTAGGCCAGTGTGCAAAGATCTACTTGGTGTTCATTTCAAAGTACACTTGTAGAAATCTAAACTTATTTCAAATCCATCATTCCACTACAGATTTTTTATGTTAGGCTTTTACCATGAACATATTTAGATAATAAATTGCCAATGATGCCTAAAAGCTTCATCTTGCCATAAATTATGTCTTGGAGAATGGTTGGCCTCTGATAGACAGCTGATAGACACTAGGAAAACTGCAACTGCTTGAGATCTTGGCACTCGATTAACTACCATTGTCACTGTTATGGTTGTCAGCTGTAAATGGTTCCTCACTAATACCAGAATAGTTCGTATTAATGCTAAAGCGCTCTTGGTAAGACTTAAAATCAACACTATACATAACAAATATACATTACCAATAACAATTACAATTATGTAAAAAAGAACTTATACAACCATTTTATAACTGATGCATAACATGTACTTCGCTTAGAAGGCCTAGTCACCACATATAAATAACAAAAAAAACAAAGAAAAGGATAAAGAACACGTATAATATCACAAATAACGTTAAAAATACCCAAATAAAGATCCTACATAACCACTTCTCCACCGTCACATCACACCAAACCTAACACCTTCAAAACACCAAAAAAACAACTCACTCGAAGCTCAAACGCAGCCGAAGTAACAGAAACCTTCAACCGCAGATAAATAACCCCCAAAAGGCTCCAGGAGAGGCTAAAATAAGGGAATTTCTCGCCCGTGTTAAAAGCTCACGTCTTCTGCTTCGAGGTTGCACAATCAAAACAACGGCGAAACGTCGACATGGATCTTTCGGGGGTCTTTATTTCTATTTTGTGGTGCTGTTTGTTTCAGAAATGGGATATAAAAAATTATATTTGAGTCTGTGGGTACTTTTGTTATGGAAAATCGGTGGTTTTTGATGGAATATAGTGAGTTTTTGGGGTGTAAGGGTTACGGGCGTAAAGAAAACCGGTCTTTCTGGAAAGGGTTGTGGGGAAACTGAGGTATAATAAAAAATTAAGTATTTAGAAATCGTATAAATAACAGTTTATTAAGACATTCAATAAATTAATCAAATACAATAAGTGCATATAAACAGCGAGTAAACCTCTACAAGAAACAATTTTAATTCAACACTCGCTAAAAGTTATTTAGAAAAAAAATATACATCCTCTGCGTCCCCAACTTAACAAACATGATCGCATTTACTATCCTATAACACCAACATCACCAAAAGACCACACTGATAAGAAAAAACAGCGAGAAAATGGAAAACAGAATACACTGAATACACCGAATAGTATCAGTGACTAAGCGACCAAAAAGGTAAACAAACAGACGACAGTCAGGCGCTGGCGATTTTGCTGTAGTTACGTAAGGAGGCTTAATTACTGTCTATTTGTGTATAAATATGTAATTTTAAGGAATGTTTGATTCTTTACATGGTTGATTGATTATATTAAACATATTTTATGGTGCTTGCGGTTAGTGACAAGGTACGAGAAGAGGTGAAAATAGGTGAATTTCTTCTGCATCGGAAGCATCTGATTTGTAAGATCCATTTGACCGGCTGCTTATTAGCTATTTTGATATATATAATTCGTTGTTGTATTGTAGGTGAATTAAATATGTTAGTATAGTTGCCGCTTTTATGTTTACTAGGTGCTGTCAGAGTTAAAAAGCTGGATAAAGCTTATGGAAGAATTGAATTTTCATCTCGTATTTTGTTAAATATATTATCCATGACCTTAGTAATTTTGTAAGTTTTTACCCATTAAGAAATGTGATAACAGTAGGATTAAGCTTGAATGTTACTTTTCATGTGTTTCTCATGTCTGTTCCATTACAGCTAAGTATATCTTACAATACATACAGAAATAGATAAATTTAGAATTAAGCATTTCTGTATTTATAGAATTTCACAATATTTGGATTTAAGTGCCTTGTTATAAATACTTCATATTGATATAAGCATTTTTATTAAATATTTCCCATTTCCCATTCTGTGTGCATATAAAATTCTGAGCTTTACTGTTCACATTAGTTAATGCCTGTTAGTTTTATTTCATACTGGGGCAATAATCCTTATTTTCTTGTAAAACATTTTAATTTACAGATGGTGTTGTAGTAATAAAATAGATGAAAAGAAACTCAAGAAAAGAAAATTAAATTCGAACACATGTGAGCTGGGGAATAAGGTAACCTTTGTCAGAATTATAAATCATACTTTCATATCATGTTGCAATGTAGGACTTTTGTATATCAATTCATTCTCTTTCAGGAAGATGAACTGCGCACGGCGAGTGGTAGTAACAGGTTTAGGGTTGGTCACGCCTCTTGGAGTGGGGGCTCCCACCACTTGGTTACAGCTGACTGCAGGAAAAGTGGGCACAGCGGCTCTTACAGATCCTAGATTTTCACAGGTTTGATTTACATTTTTTTCATTTTAGCTGATTTACATTGTGTACTTGATTAACACTATAGAGAATGCAGAGAATCATCATATGTATTTTTCATGATATAGAGTATTGTTTTATCTTACTGTATGTTCCTTTCAAAGCTTTTGGTATAGATATGTTCTCTGAAAAATTCAGATGTCAAATATAAAAGATATTTAGAGGGAAATTATTAACAATTTCCCCCCCACCATTTGATATCTGGTAATTTAAGATCTTTGATTCAGCTTTAGATAATTCCAAGATTTTACATCAAGAAAACTATTGAGTATTCAAAAATCATGAATAGATAGATGTAATATTTGTATTAGGTGGACATAATAATACTGATGTAGGAACTATTTTGATATAGTACTTACAATCATTCATAGAAAAAAATTATAATTTTTTTTTTCAGAAAACAGATATTTTGCAATTGTGAAATATAAAAATGTCTTCAGACCATTCCAGGTGCCTTAATGAAATCAAGGGAAATTATAGCATTTTTAATATGGTTTATATATAGAAAATAAACATACTCATACTTTTTTTTTTTTTTCAGATGCCATGTCGTGTAGCAGCACCTGTACCACGCGGGAAGGAAGACGGACAGCTCGACCTTTCTAAGTATTTCAGTCCTAGTGACCTACGAACAATGACTCCTGCTATTGCATATGCCTTGGTTGCGGCACAGGAAGCTATAGAAAATGCAGACTGGAAACCAGAGTGTCCCATGGAACAAGAGAGAACAGGTGTGGCTGTGGGTATGGGTATGGTTGACCTAGATGATGTCCTCATGACTGGTCAAGCTCTTCAGCAAAAATACAGCAAAGTCAGCCCATACTTTGTACCTAGAATATTGACCAACATGGCAGCTGGGCAGATTAGTATGAAATATTCATTTCAAGGCCCAAACCACAGTGTGTCCACGGCATGTGCCACAGGAGCTCATGCTATCGGAGATGCATTCCGTTTCATAAAGTATGGAAGTGCAGATGTAATGGTGTGTGGTGGCACAGAGGCGAGTATCACACCTCTGGGCATTGCTGGATTTTGTCGACTGAGAGCTCTTGCCACAAACTTCAATGATGACCCGGAGAGAGCTTCACGGCCGTTTGATGCCAAGCGTGAGGGATTTGTCATGGGGGAAGGGGCAGGGATTTTGGTCCTTGAAGAACTGGAACATGCTCTCAAGAGAAATGCAAATGTCTATGGGGAAATTTTAGGGTATGGACTCTCAGGTGATGCGTACCACTATACTGCACCCAGAGAGGATGGAAAAGGTGCTGTGAGAGCCATGAAGATGGCCATTGAAGAAGCACAAGTGAGCTTAGAAGATGTTCGTTACATAAACGCCCACGCCACGTCAACACCTCTCGGAGATGCTATTGAAGTCACTGCTATTAAATCCCTTTTTGAAGAACATGCAGAAAATCTTCTCATATCGTCATCGAAAGGTGCCATGGGTCACTTGCTTGGAGCCGCAGGAGCTGTTGAAGCCATCCTGACCACTCTAGCTTGCCATGCAGGATATATTCCTCCCACAGCCAATCTCGAGGACCCTTCACCGGGCTTAGATTTGGACTTCGTTCCGCTCGAGTCCAAAGCCTGGCTCCAGATGGCAGACAGAAGAATAGCCTTAACAAATTCCTTTGGTTTTGGGGGAACAAATGCCACACTGTGCATAGCATCATGTTATTAAGTTATTAGGCTGTTTTGTTATGTTTATTTTAAGACAGACTAGACTTTTGCAGCCAAATAGGTTCTTGACCAAAAGATATGTGTTTTGTTATAGTTTGTTAAGTAGAAATAACCTTGGAGTGTATATTGTTGAACATATATGTAGTTTTTTGTAAATTTGTAAAAGGATTTTTTGATATCTAAATGTATGTAACTCAAACTATTATTTCTTTGAGTGAAAAAGTCATGGAAATTGTGTACAGGAAGCTTTTCCAAAACATTTTTTTTTTCTATAATGTTCATGGATGTGTATGAAATTATGTTGAAATTATAAACATGGACTTTTTCCTGTGTAGACTTGTTTATTTATACCTGTTAAGCTGCATGAAATTGATATTATTTAGCAAAAGATTAGCCAAAAAATGCATCTTGAAACTTATGAATATATACATTTTTAAAAATTTGAATAGAGTTCTTAGATATATTCAATATAATGTAATGATGATGAGTATTATTATCATTATTACTATTGTTATTATTATTTTTTTGTTATTGTTATTATTATTATTGATTTTGTTATTGTTATTGTTATCTTTTCATTATTGTTATTATTATTATTATTATTATTATTATTATTATTATTATTATTATTATTATTATTATTATTATTATCATCATTATTATTATTATTATTATAATTGTTGTTGTTATTATTATCATTATTATTATTATTATTTTATCATTATTGACATTATTATCATCATTGTTATTATTATTGTTATCATTATTACAATTATTATTATCATTATTATTATTATTATTAATATTATCATTATTTTTGTTTTATTGTTATTGTTATTTCTATCATTCTTATCATAATTATTATCATCATTCTTATTACTATCATTATTACTATTGTCATTATTGCCATAGTCTTTCATAATAATAATAATAGTAATATAATGTAGTATATAATGGTGATGATGATGATGATAGTGATGGTGATGGTGATGATGATGACGATGACGGCTCTAAAAATCCTTCATGAGTTTGGAAAGACGCACGAGGCGATACCCTAAGACTGTGGGTATGTTATAGCCCCTCAGTTCTCTTCGTGAATCACTGTGATACTTCTTTGAACTTATTACAGATTTACGGTTAGTTGCGGTTTTTCTTGAATATTTCGTTTATTTGATAGAATTATCGTTTTTTTTTCTTAGCATGAAATAAATAGTGATGGATAATATTGTTTGTTCAGCTACGTTTCTTTAAGGTAAGTTATTTTCTTGATTTTTTTTTTTTTTTTTGTGATTTTCTGATTGTTGCGGGAATAATATAAGATGAAGTAGTTTCCCCTGAATAAATTTTCGTTTTCTATAAAAGGAATGAACAATTTGATTTTCTTTGAGCAAATTTTAGGGGATACTATTATACTTACAAACAAAATTTTATATATCTATTATTTTACGGGAGACTATTTTTTAAACAAAAATTTATTTATTTATTTATTGTGAAACATGAATTATAAATGTAGGACAAAAGGTATTATGATTTGGAAAATACTGCTTGATCATTAACATGTACTCAGGATTACGATAATCATCCTAAAAGAAATTATTGCGGTGATGATTATAATGATTGAAAAAAAAGAGAAATCATTTAATG